TCAAATTCCTTTGTATTTCACGTTCATTTTCTCTTTGTTCATCCGTCAAGTTTTGCCTCATATTCCTTTTTCTTTCACGATCATGTTCTCCTTGTTTATAATCGAAGTCCCGCCTGGATTTGGGTCTCTATCTCTCTCTCTGCTTGCCGCTTTTCTTTGGTGAGTCCTTCGTCTTTGCCTTACATTTTCACGCCACCAGAGTTTTTCATTTTTCGAAAAAACTCTTTTACTTCTGGCCTTTCTTTCTTGGCTTCATTCTCCTCTGAGCTTTCTTTCGACATATCGATTTCGGAAAGGGGTTCCATCGTAAATAGATTAAATATAAATATAAGGTTGAATAAAAAATTTAGCTGTTATCTTTCGGTATTTCTATACGTGTGTAAGACGTTTTTTTACAAAAGTTTAATAGCCGGATTTACCTTTATGTGTACCCGGATGTTGCAACGCGTCGACATTCCCGCGACACTGGTGAAAAACGCACTGCGCACGCTCGGAGATGGCGTACGTAACTAAGGGCAACTCATATTTTTGATGCCAGTGTTTTGATTGTTTTCTAATTGTTTTACAAAATCACAAAACTTAAGAAAAATACTGAAAACTTAAGGTTTTCCTTTACGCAATAGCAAGATAATTTCGATTGTGATACACAGCTGATTTATACAAAAAAACTTTTGTTTATACAAAAGCAAAAATTATCGTTGAAAATGTCGCCACTAGCGGCCCGACGTCGACATCCAGCATGACTAATTTGCAGATAATCACATGGTTGGATTCTATGTAAAGAAATCTAAAAATATCTGTAAAATTCCAAAACGAATATTTAAGGAATAGCCTTGTTGGTTAAAATAAGGCATACTTATAGATGTGATAAATTGCTATTGTTCGCCATTTTGTTTTTTTCTCCCAACGCATGCGCAGTGCGTTTTTCACCAGTGTCCATTCCCGCCAAAAAAAAAATTTAACCAGCCAATCGGAATGCTTGTGTACACGCCCGGACGGACGACGGACGGACGACGGACGGACGGACGTACGGACGGAAGTGACGTCAGCCAAGCCATGAAAAATCAACTCGATAGTTTACCATTTTTTCTTAGGTATGGTGCTCCGCTCGCGCGGGAGCTCCGCTATGACATGAAGTGATAGTCAACGTAATGCACAGTATACAGTAGTAGTAGGCACAAATTACTACTATTTTTGTTTGTTTGTTTTAGTTTTACTATTATTCACTAATTGTACAGCATCATTTGACAGGCCAGATAAAATCACTCAAACTAAGTTCTGCTGCTGTAATATTCATATTTTGATTGAATGATTTTCTTTACTGATAGTTTTATTCAGCAATAACACTCTTGAATGATAAACATGAATAATGATGATGATCATTTAAGGATATGATGATCATTAAAGAATACTTAATACATTTAAAAGGCTCTGACCTATATATAACTCATCAATTATTTCACTAAAATTCCAAAAAACCCCTATTTTCTCTCCCATAACCCACTGCCAATAAATATTGAAAAGTCCTTCAACAGTGATTACATATGGATCTCTAGAAACTGTAAAGTTTGTAATAAAGCATCTTGTCCGGCTGTAGGTGTGAGAATGTTATTATTGTAAATTAACAAAAATGATAAGTGTAATACGAAAAGAATATCTTTTATTAGTATAAACCTACTAATGGTCTACTGCAAATCTTTCACTCTGGCTGAGATACTAGTGTTCATGAGTGATAGACCATTAGTAGTGATCTTGATGACCAAAACAACCCAGAAATATATTATTTCAACCAAGTTTAAAACTGTTTGTATTCATTTATTTGACCTATATTAGCAGGTTTATACTAAAACAATAAAGACCAGACAAATTTCCAGTGGGAGGGAAACAGTACATTTTCAGGGGGGAAGGGGTGCAGAACATTTCCAGGGGGAAGAGTACAGTACATTTCCAGGAGGGAGGGGTACAGAACATTTCCAGGGAGAGGGGTACAGTAAATTTCCAGGAAGGACGGGTACAGTACATTTCCAGGGGGAGGGGTACAGAACTTTTCTAGGGGGAGGGGTACAGTACATTTCCAGGGGGAAGGGGTACAGTACATTTCCAGGGGGCAGGTTACAGAACATTTCCAAGGGGAGGGGTACAAAATTTTCAAGATCATTTTAAAATTGGGGGTACATGTTTTGTAATTGTGGGGGTACTGTTTAAGGTTTTGATGCAAAGCAAGTGACATTTAATTTCAGCTACTAAGCATAACATTTTCTAAATTATTATGAAGAAGGGGGTACATTTTCATTTCAAAGATATTGTAGGGGGTACACATTTTACTTCATTTTTATAAGATATTTTATTCTTACCTTTTCTTCCTGTGTTTTGGATGTTAAATTGTTGTGTTTTGATTTTCAGAATATACAGAGAAACTGAAGTCATCCATTAAACAACAAACCGATTTTCTGTTGTCAGAAGAAGAAGACAAGAATATTAAAACCGATGACATCTTTACGAGTGTGACTATCCAACGCGGTCCAAAACACTTCGAGGAACCCAAAGAAAAGAGATTTGGCAGGAAGCAAATAGATGAAATTCAAGCAAGTAGTACAAAACTCGTGAACTGTTCAAAAATGTTTCTTCGCCCAGAAAATGATGATCAGAAATCTGCAGCTTCTTGCACGACCAATCCTAAATCTATCTTGTTGACGGGCAAAGCAGGAATTGGAAAATCCCTTTTTTGTCGGAAGCTGGCACGGGATTGGTCGCATAACCGATTGTTTGAGGAAAGTCAAGAAAATGCCAAAGTACCTGATTTTCAGTTTGTGTTCCTGTTGACATTCTGTCAACTTCAAGAAGAAGAAAAAAAAGTGGTTGACTTACGTGATATCTTAAATCAGTCCTCCCTACTGAAGGAGCACTTGGTGATAGACGAGTCATTACTGCAGTACATGATTGACAATCCTGAGAAGCTGCTCATCATCCTCGATGGTTATGATGAGTATAAACATCGAGAGAAAATCACCGAGGACTTTGAGACAAGATACCCAAACGACCCTCATGAAAAAATACCTGTTCCTGCTCTGATTGCCAAAATGATGAAAAGAAAAATGTTAAATGGTGCAGTACTGCTTTTATCCTCGAGACCTGGCGAAGCAGAGGAATTTTAAAAAAATGTCTTTGATGTGAGATGTGACATTCAAGGATTTTCTTCACTTCAAGTGCTAGAATACATCGAAAAATATTTCAAAGAGAACGAAAGCATGAAGAACAAAGCACTTGATCACATCAAAACGAATGAAATTCTTTTAAGTTTTGGTCACATTCCTGTGATGTGTTTTCTAATGTGCTACTGCATTA